GTTGGACATAACTGAACAACTTCTTTTGGGGGGACTATTGATAATATATAATAATCAAATAGATCAAATAATAATATATAAATATAATTGAGGGATATTAGACTCCCAAATAAACTCTAACTAACACATAATGTAGGATTCTCACAATCCTTTTCATAGTAGAATTTATCTTGACTCCAATTTTATATACCCCAAATTTACTCCAAATAGGGAACAATTCACAATTTACTCAATTCTCAATTCTGATAGTTAACAGACACCAAATTGTAAAAATTTAAAAAGTTTAAACACTAAATTTGTCATTTATCCAATCATTATTATAATTTTATCCCTATAGTTTGCCATAAATAATAAGTTTATCCTTACATTTTGAAAAATACACTATGATATCCGTAATGTTTGATTCTGTTACATGATTTTGTACTTTCGTCCAAATTTTTTCATTTTTTACTGCAAGTCAATGCAGAAAGTCCCAGTCAGATGAGACAGAATGTAACAATAATCGCTATCAAAAGTTTTACCAAACACCAATATTCATCAGGTAACCACTATCAGCCACCTATTATTTGCTATATCAACCATCGCTGTCAGTAATCCGCTGATATAAACAGCTAGACCAAACCTTTGTCTATCGTGATTATGTCATAAATAATATAGTTTTTTAACTATGTACCAAGACAAGCAATATTTAGACAAAAATTATGAAAAAATTTAAGAAATAAGAAAATGTCTCAAGCAAAATCGATTTATAGAAAAATAGCAAAACATTGTAATTGAATTTATTTTGTATTTGCAAGCAAATTCATTATATTTGATACATGCTGAATCAGATTTAATCACAATGTTTTAATTTTTTATACAATTTTTAATGTGTTCAGGTGAAAGCTATTTTTGTAATTTACTATGTCATTCATATTTTGTGCATTTTTGCCATTTTACAGAATGAATTTAATTGGATTATTTGATTTTTTTATATTTTATTGATATAAATGCAACATTGGAGATACTCTTTTTTACTTTTATTTATGAAAAATTTTCCAAGAAAATGAATGAGAATCTCTATTTTGATGTTGAAAGAACTAGTCTCTCTAGTGATAATATTTGAATCAATTAATCAATTTACCAATTAATCAATTTTCTTGTAGGCCTTTCTTTTCTTAAGGATCTGTAATTGACTAACTGACAAATAAATAAAGTTCGTTTATTTCTCAAAATTTCAAGAAAATTCAGATTCCATTCATGTAAACAAATATATGTAAAAATATATATATATATATATTATATATATAATTATAATATTGTCTTACTATGATTGTAAGTTCCAGCGATATGAATTGTTCTATCTAAATTGATTCGAGCGAGTCCGATTTAAATCCAACTTAAATTTGCTAATGCAATTTGAAATACTGAGAGGGCTGGCCCATAAGGGATGATGACTCATTGATTTTTTTTGTGATTTTCATTGGAACCAATTTTCACATGGACTAGATTTCATTGCTTATGAATTACACAATATATAATATTTCTACTATGATTGTAAGTCCACATATGAATTGTTCTAATCTAATCTGATTCGAGCGATCCGATTTAATCCAACTTAATTTGACAATGAATTTGAAATATGAGAGGGCTGCCCATAAGGGATGATGACTCATTGATTTTTTGTGATTTCATTGACCAATTTTCACATGACTAGATCATTGCTTATGAATTACACATTGTGTTTGTGGAGTACTGTTAGATATCATTATGGGATTGTTGCGTGCTCATTATAAGAACTAGAAATCCTTCTCATGTGAATATTTGAGTTGAAGCATCACCCTTGTCTCCAAATTTTTTCAGTTTGTAGGGTTATTTCTATTTTATCCTTCTACAACTCTTATCTCCCGTAAAAGTAGCATGCACTTGCACACACTAGTTATGAGTTGTAATAATTTTATAGAATTTCTACAGTTACAATGAATGTGAATTGTTTATATCTCAAGTGATATTAATACTATAAAATTGTTAAATAAGTACCTTATTGATATGAGATTAAGATAAAGGGAATGAGACTAACCGGTCTTATATTTATTAATCGATTATAGGAACAACTTGAATAATGGGCTTAAAGCCCAATTGTTACATTGTTCTAGTCAATTTTATACTTACGTGATATGTTAGGTTTACTGCAGGTTTTGAGAGTCTTAGACTTATCCAACTCTTATGTTGGTCTGGCCAAATGAAACAAGTCGCAACAGACCAAACCACCAATTTATCAAAATCGTAGCTTTGAATATGTTTAGATTGATTTGAGTTGTTTTTTATTTTGAAAATCTTAGAATCCATTAATTTAATATCAAATGTATATGTAGATGAGACAAAATAAGTTGAGCTCTTGTAAGGAGATTATCGATTGCTCATAGTTAAGAAAGAATAGAGAAAAATAATTTTTATATTTCCAATTACTCTAAACTGTAACGGTCAAAACGGTAATGAAACATATAACCCTACGGTGAAAAAAAAAACTTCTTTTATATTAGACACTTAAATAATAATAATAATAATAATAATAATAATAGACACTATCGTGCAGTAACTGCCAGAAGTTAAAATTCTCTTTGCTGGTTAATGCCTTTTGGTTTTATGTATGCTTTTGATAGCTTTTTTCTGGTTTCTTTTACAAATTTTTCAAAATAATTGAAAAATTCATCACCTTTCCTTCTGTTCTATCATCATGGATTAAGAATTATTAAGTATTTCTATACAAAATATTGATTATGAAAATGTTCTAATTGATACTGGTTGACATTCTTAACAAAATTCATGTGAAAACTATTTAAGAAGGAATTAGAAGAAATAATAATTTTTATATTTCAAATTACTCTAAATTGCAATGGTCAAAAGGTAATGAAACATAGAACCATACTGTGAAAAAAAATTTATTTTCTATTATAAAATTAAATAATAATAATAATAAATATCATAGAAATTGTCATGCAGTAACTGTCAGTACGTAGTTGAAGTTCCTCTTTGGCAGTTAATGCCTTTTGGTTTTCTGTATGCTTTTGATAGCTTTTTTATACATGTTTCTTTTACAAATTTTCCAAAACAAATGAAAAAAATTCATCACCTTTCTATTTGTTCTATAATCATGGATCAAGAATTATTAAGTATGTCTATACAAGATGTTGAGGAGGAAAGTCTTCTAATTGATACTGACCGATATTCGCAAAACAATTCTTATGACAATTGTTTATTTGGTATGCTTTTAACCCTAATTACAATCAAGTTTATGGCAATGAGAAACATTCTAATGGATCTTTGGCATCCTTTAGGTGGCGTTACGATCACAGAAGTGGGAATGAAAGATTTTTTATTCTATTTCTACAATTCGATTGACCTTGAAAGAGTTATGGATGGATCTCCATGGACATTTAATCACCACTTGCTAGTTTGGTATAAGCTAATAGAGAGTGAGAAACCAGAAATTGTTCTTCTTGTTAGATGTCTGTTCAGGGTACAAGGTACTTATAGGTATAATGTCGAAGAATCTTGCTCGGATTTTAGGGAATTTCGTGGGAACTTTTCTACAGTATGATGCAAACACATTGATTGTTGATAACAAGTACATGAGAATCAGAGTTGCTTCAGATATTCGCACACCTTTGCATCATGAGACAAGCTTGTAACTTCAAATGGTTCAGTTCCATATGTTCAATTTTGATATGAAAAACTTATTGTATTTTATTTTTTATGTGGAGAACTCAGACATATGTATAGCTTTGAGATTACACCACAAGAAGGAGTATCTCTCTTTAGAGATAGAGTGGGAAGATCATATTCAAGTTCCTTCTCGTCGGAATACACAGTCAATTAGCAGTTGGCTAAGGATTAACGATGAGGAAACATTTGTCCACCAAACTCGAACTCCATGGAAATTGGAACTGCTGCTTACTAAAACCTAAAGGATATACAATTATAAGAATGATGTATGGGGACAAAAATGCATAGTTTGGGAAATCACATGAAGTATATTGTATATGCCTAAAGTATATTGTATAATGTAAATCACATAGTAATATAATATAAATTTCTTCAATTCAACTGCTCGAAGATTTTAGTTTTTAGACCTTTAAATTTTAGTTTAGGTTAGATGTTAATATTTTTGTTCTATAAATTTCACTTAGGCTAGGAGAAGAAAGTATGGTGCCAGTATCATAAAGTGGTTAAAGATGGTCATACCCAATTTAAGGACAGTTGTATGTACACTTTAGTTATTACCTTTTATTGTTTAAACAATATTCTAACAATCATCTTGTAATTCCTATCTCTTATAATTTATAAACATATGGATAATTATTTGATTGTTTTATATTATTGCATTCACAGTAAGTGAGTAAATTCATTGTTCTGGTGATGGAATCATAGCCATTATCACCAAATGCTGGGCATCATAATCCATTGAATCGACTATAATATGATATAGAATTCTAATTCAATTTATGTATATTGAAAGCCTGTAGATAAACCCAAATCCATTTATCTACAAGACATTAGATAGGAGAGAGAAAGGTTGAAAGATGAAGTTTAATTACATGAACATTAGAAATTAAGCATCAGCTCTTATGGCTAGAGATAGAGTATGATATTTATTAAAAGGAAGAAGCTATATCTATAAGATGCACTATAGTGATCTTAAGTCTATAGAAATAATATCTTTTTACATGTACGACCCATTAATACTTGTAGTAATAGCAATGGTAACATGATTTACGTGTATGGCCTGTTAATACTTGCAGTAATAGCAATGGTAACAAAATATAAACCCACTTGAAAATAAATATTACATAAAATAGAAAAAACAAAATTTAAATGACTCAAAATAATAAATAAAGACCTTTAGCACAAACTTTATATTAATAAAAACATTTTATTGTGAAAATGAACATTCTCCATCCCTATAGAGAAAGCACTGACTCAACTTCTCATAATAGAACTGTAATATAAACTAAAAGGATAACAAGTACAACCATAAACATAAAACAGGGAACAAAAACTTCTTTGATGCTCTTTACTACTATATATATATATATATATATAATAACAAAATACATATATATAGAGAGAGAGAGAAAGACTTAGCGCCTTTTGGCTGCTGGCTCTTTCTGCGCATTGAAGTAGACGGTAGCAACTGGCAGCCCCAATTCCAAATGAGCAGCAAACAGACGAGTGTTGAAATTAGCTCGTGATTGTGGTTGCTCCACCACCCCCATCGCCGCCTTTTGCCGGAAAAGCACCAGAATGTAGCGGTGGATTCCTACCGGCGGACGTGGCCCCACATAAGACAAAATCTCTTTCCCTGCAAATAAAACAAAATAGATATACAAAGAACAATTAATTGATTAATTAAGACATCAAAAGAGAAATGGATGTACTTCATCTATTGTCTATCCCTTTTGGTCCAATAAACAGATTATATACATAGATCTACCATTCATATTCCAAAATTTTATAAAAATTTAATTATTTTCAAATAAATTTTTTTAAAAAATTATTATTACTTTTTTTTATCCCGACTATAGAGCCTAATGATTTTTTATTTTTCCAGTATAATGCGACTCTCAAAATCAAATCATTGCGTAATGACTTTTTATTCTTCTAATAGATTGCGACTCCCAAAGTTGAATTGGTGTTCTAAGACATTATATTCTTCTAGTAGATTGCGACTGCCAAAGTCGAATTGGTGTTCTAAAAACATTATGGAGATTGCGTGACGGAGATTGCAGTAACTGTGGGAAACTAATTTTAATTTTAATGCTAAATAAAAATTTTATAATTAAGCATGACTATCTTTGATTTCAAATCAAAATCCCACAAAAGATAAAATTGAATCACATATGATAACATAATCAAATCAACTATTTCAGTTGAATTAAAATTTAACTTAAAATAATAAACTCATTTTTATATAAAGTGGAACTCATTAATTATTTAATTAAATAAAAATTAACTTATAAAATAAATTCGTTGTTAGTTAAAGTTGAACTCATGTCCATCCATCCTTGTTGCAGAAGATAATGATGGGAAGCAGCAGATTGCACACGAATGAATGTTAGACAGCCGCCAAAAATAACGAGGTGAGGGTGACAAATAGTTCAATACGTGTCACTGTCAAATTCAACTAACAAATTACTAATTATTTAATCTTGTATTATTTTTTTTCTCAATTTAGTGATAAAAAATAATATCTCAAATTAATTTTTAAATTTTAAATATTTAGCTATAAAAAATGTAATTTTTTTTGAAAATAAAAATTAAAAACATAAATAAAAGTCCAGTGGTTTCACCTTTGGTAGGATTTGTACCACCAGGTATATCTGCAACAACCCTGAAATAAAAAAAAAAAAATTAGCTAATTAATTAATTAATCAGTAAACATGAAGATTTTATTTATACAAAAAACCAAAAAAAAAAAAAATGGAGATTTTAAAATATATATAATTCTCTTTAGAGCACTCACCAATGGACCCATTCTCGCATGCTGGGTTCACTAGGGCTTGGAGCATCAGGGTCTGTCATCACCTGCATTAATTACCATGGTTAATACTTTAGGCATCAGCATGCATGCACTTTACAAGCTTTTAATTACCCTTTAGGAATACCCTAACTCATATATATAATTTCAATCTTTCCATTTGTTTTATTTTTACCAATTTTTTAAATAAAACAATTTTTTTCTAAATTTAATATTACTGTTAATTTCACTCTCCCTCTGATTCAAACTCCGAATAATAAAACTTATCTATTTCCGGTTTTTCATAAATTCATAAATTGAGTCTGTAATAAAATTAATATTTAAAATACTGGTAAATCAAATTTAAGCACATGCATGCAATTACAGTAACGGACAAAGAATTTAAACTCAAAAAAAGAGAAATATATACTTAAGTTTATTGTATAAAATTTTGACAGACCAAGTATAGTAGTTTAATAAAAAAATTAGTATATTAAAAATACAATTTTAAGAAAATGGTAATACTGTCACACCTTCGTATCCACAAGTCCTGAAAAAATAATTACCGGGAAGGCGGGAACTCCGAAACGAGAATAGGTGTAAAAAAAAAAAAAAAAAAAATAAAAAAAAATTAACCGCCAACTCCGAAACGAAAAAAAGTAAAAAAAAAAAAAAAAAGAGAAAAAAAAAAAGAAAGGCTGCAGTTAATAATTAATATACTTAAGCACAACGCTGCTTAGATGGTCGAATTTAGGGATGGCCAGAAATTGAAAAAAAAAAAAAAAGAAAAAAAAAAAAGGCGCAGTTAAAATATATACTAACCAACGTGTAGAGGTCATTAGGATGGCCAGAAATGGTAAGTTTAGGAGGGTTCGAAGCAGTAGAAGGCTTAACATCACAGCCATTGGTGACATGTTTAGAGCCATAATAAACAGACATAGTAACAGAAGGAACAAATAGGTCAATAACATCTCCTATAACGCGACCCACAACAAGAGGATCAACAGAGGCCGCCATTAAAACGAGAAGAAGAGAGACACAGAGAGCTTTTCTGTGTATTTTGAAATGTATTTTGAAAGTGAAGGAGGAGAGCAGTACTGCTGGTGAGCTTATATACAGAAAGTGAATGAAAATATTGGCATCTTGGATTAGTGTACCTCTTGAGCATGCATAGGGCGATATAAAGTTGATTGAAGCAGAGATTGACACGTGGAAGGACAGTCTCTGCTGATGAGTTTTTTTCCTTGTAAAACCAGATACTTTTTGTATCAGTTCATAAAAACCACCATCAATGTCTTTTTGTTTAACAAGTGGTTTAATCTCCGCCGTTAGTTAAGTGTTCGCCAGACAGCAGAATCTATAATCTCAAAATTCAACAAGTTATTATGAGAGATATTTTTACCTTTAATTAATAAAAATAATTAAAAAAAAGGATTTATTTATTTAGTGCAAAGTATTTAGACTCTTTGCTTACTTCAATAGCGAAATTTTGATTTTAGATTGAAATATTAAAATAACAATAAATTTTTATAATATTTAAATCAGAACTAAAAGTGCTAGTTCACTAGATCAAAGTTATATGAAATCACATCAATTTTTTACCAAATGATATCTTAATGTCAATTTTGTTATACAATTTTTATTTTTGGTAATTAACTATTTAATATTTTATTTTGATAAAATTATTATCACACCCTATTAAATTTGTAAAATCATCGATTTGTATCTAAATTTAATTTCATTAAATTATTTATTGTCTTTTCATTTAAAAGATGTTATTTTTGTCGTTCGGTGAAAAATTCAATATTAAATGAATAATACTAAATAGTAAAGTATTATAGTGTATTTAATGACAAAAACAATATTTTTTGATAAGAGTGTCTATAAACGAGTCCAAACTGCTCAGACTAATTCAAATCAAATTAAAACCATAGATTTTTTTTTCAAAAAATCATGATTTGGTCGGTTTTGACATTTTGAACTCCGCTGTTGGTTTGGTTATAGTTTGAGATTTGAAACAAGCAGACTGAATCAAACTAAACCATCAATTTAAGGTAGTTAATTATATTAATTGTATCTAAACTTAAATTTTAAAGTCTTAATTTACTTGCACTTATTTGGGCAAAAAAAAAAAAAAAAAAAAACCCATCAATTTAAGGTAGTTACCATATATAATTAATTGTATTCTAAACCTTTAAATTTTAAAGTCTTAATTTACTGGAATCAACTTTATTTGGGCAAACAAAAATAAAAAAATAACTTGGGATCTGAATAATAGTTCTAATACAATTGAGTTGCAAGGAAGCTTGAAATGATGTATATTAAATTTGAAATATCTTCCTAAAAAAAAAAAATTAAACGTAATTAACTTTATTTTTTATATTGTCATTAATTAAACGTTAATTTTCAATTTATTTGTTAATTTATTTGCTAGTTTGACAAAACATAACTATTTTTGTTTTATTTTATGCTATTAGTCTATTGTTTTACATTTAAATTTTTATGGTTTTTTTTCATTATTTTTTTCGGTTGTTCTGTTGGATATTCTAATTTAATGTATTTAGAAATTTAAATTTTGATATTAACAATTTTTTTTCCAAAACTGCATCGCGAACCGTCCCAAAATTGGAACTTAAAATCCAAAACTAACATTCATAGGTTTAATTCAGTGAATATCTTTAATCGGTTTGAATTTTTTTATACAAGTTTATTGTTTTGTTCTTAATGAAGCTTTCAAACTTAAAACCTATGAAACACTCTCTACTTCTGGGGACAAAAGGGACTAAATAATTTATAGAGTTAAACTAAAAAAAAAAAAAAAAAAACTGGTTGAATAATAGTTCTAATACAATTGAGTTGCAAGGAAGCTTGAATGATGTTATTAAATTTGAAATATCTCCCAAAAAAAAAAATTAAACGTAATTACTTTATTTTAATTGTCATTAATTAAACGTAATTAATTTATTTTATTTATTTGTAGTTTGAAAAACATAATATTTTTTTGTTTATTTTATGCATTATTATTGTTTTTACATTTAATTTTTATGTTTTTTTTATATTTTTTCGGTTGTTTGTTTTGATATTCTAATTTAATGTATTTAAAAATTTAATTTTGATATTAAAATTTTTTTTTTCAAACTGCCGCGAACCGTCAAATTGAACTAAAATCAAACTAACATTCATAGGTTTAATTCAGTTGAATATCTTTATCGGGTTTGAATTTTTTATACAAGTTTATGTTTTGTTCTAATGAAGCTTCAAACTAAACTATGAACACTCTTACTTCTGGGGACAAAAGGACTAAATAATTTAATAGAGTTAAACTTCAGGTAAATCAATAATTTTTACTAAACGATGGGGATATAATAGTAATTCCGATCAAACTCAAAACTAAATGGTTACTGATTCTTCCTTTACGTTTATTATTTATCAATTTATTTTTAAATTAAAACTAAAATAAAATTTATGAGACAAAAAAAATATCGAAACTCATAAATGATTCTCTAACATTGTTAATTTTCCCATTTTCCGTTTCATAAAAACCATAACCGTTACGCCGTTGGTTTTGCATTATAAAGAAACGTCTTATGCTCTCTTTTCACTTACGATTTCCAAATGGCATAGCCTTATCATATTTCTTACCACAGTTGTCATTTTATTTCTTACCACATTTGTCATATTATCGACAGACTTGTTCCTTATTTGATTTTTCTGTTCTCTAATTTATATATAATCACTCATCATTTTGTTAATTTTCAGTACCAATTGATTAATTAAAACTTTACACTCATAAGATTATTTAAACATTTTGTAACGTTTATAGTTTATTTTCATATTCTAAATAGGCAAAATGTCTTTCTCAATTCTTTATAACCCTAGAAAATAAACAATTTATAAATAATGGCTAAATTTGTAAACTTTTGATCTTTTATTAGTTTTGTTGCTTGAGGACAAGCAATGGTTTAAGTTTGGGAAATTTTGATAGATGTTATTTTTATTCTATTTTTAATATAGTTTTTATTAGGAATTTTAGTATTTTTAATTATTTTAATTAGTTTTTATTTAGTTTTATTTATGTTTTTGTTTAAAGTTTTCTTAAATCGCATTTTAGTTGATCTTAGGGAATTTTACAACATTTTTATAGAAAACCAGCTAAAAATATAGAAAAGAGTGTTCCTAGGTTCAAAAGCTAGCACGCCCTGGGCATATTATCTAGTACCCTCGTGCTGTGTTCAAATCAACAGCGGTTCAGAAGCTAGTACGCCCGTGCTACAAGAGGCTGTCAATCTTTGAGCGTGTTCACTCCAGCATGGCCCGTGCTGCAACTACCTTGAAGTCCCCAGGCTCTAGCACACCCAAGCCATGCCAGAGAGCACACCCATGCCGCAAGTAGCTGTCGATCTCTAAACGTGCTCATCCAAGCACGGCCCGTGCTGCAACCACCTTAGAGACTCAGAGCTAAGCACACCTAGACTGTGCTAGACAGCACGCCCATGCTGAAGACCAGATTTCTCCTTGGGCCGAGAACATTAGTTCTTGCCCGTGCCGCTTGCATGGACCCACATGAGATGTTTTTCTGACATGTCAATCAAGTTTAAATCATATTTAGACTCTGGAAGAGTCCTGATTGGGAAGAAATACAAAGTCTAAATAGTTTTCTATCTCAAAAAGATTTATCACTCAGTGGAGATCCTCTTTCCAAAACGAACATGAAGATATTTCAGAAAGTCTATATAAAGAGAGAGACTATCCATGATCGGGGGCGATTTTCATATTCCACCTCTTGTTTTATTAATTTCTACATAGTTTTCTCTCTTCAAGACTTCAAGTGCTGAAGATTAGTGCAAGATTCAAGGAAGCCGTTCAAACTTATCGTCGACTAGTTTTTATTTCTAAATTCTCTTTTTGTTTATTATTCTTTATAGGGTTATTTATAATTTTAATTGAGTTTTATTTAATTATTATGTCGAACTAAACTCTCATACTAGGGATTTGATGTAGCTTAATTTCAATTCTAATTTATTATATTAGATTTGTTTTTCTTTGTTCAAAGTATAATTTATTATTGAACTTAATGCTCCTAGGCAAAGTTTTTCCCGCGAATTAATTTATTTCATTAATGACTATCTGGAGGAGGGTTTTTAATATGAAAAATGTAATAAATTACATGAGAATAATAAGATGCGGAAGCTATATGTTTGACTCATGGGGAGTGTTCATAAGTTAATGACCTTAGGTTATGAATTCATAAACAAACCATAAAACTTAATCATTTAATTCATATTTGATTGAATTATTGGAAGATATGTAATTAAACCGGGTTAAAATAGCTAACAATACATCGGGAGAGCTTGTTGGTGATTTTAGGGATATTTTCCCTACTTGAACAATTAAAATTAATTATCAAACTAATAAAATAAATTGGATAGAATTAAATGAAATTAAAATCTCTAGTAGCTTCTAATCCTTGATTTCTATCATCAAATTGTCTTGCTTGATTGATTTTATTTTCTTTTACTTATTAAATTTAATTTTTAAAAATAATTCTCCTTATTGTCGTCTAAATAATAGTAAGTTAACACAATTTTGGTATTTGGTATACAATCATTATGGCACGATACTCTACTCATTCTTTATTACTTGTCACAATTTTGTGCACTTGGAAAAAAGCCTGTCAATGTTTTATAAGAAAGTATGTGTAACTTGCTTGATTTAATTTAGACAGAGAACTAGGAATTCATTTAATTTAGCTATATGATTTCATTTAACCAAATTTTCCTTTTTTTATACATAGTACATTTAATATTCTTTGGAAAGCCAGATCTTTGATTATGAATTTTGCTTCTGTTGAGAGTAGAAAATTATTGTATGGTACAAATTTGGTCTACTAGATTATATGAAATCTATATATTTTGCTTTTGTTTTGCAGTTGGTACATCTCTACCACTTTTAAGTGATTAAAAGTGAATATCAAGCAAGACCTCGAAAATAATATTCAAAGGTACACCGACTAAATTAGCATTATAAAGTTATTTTTTCTGCTTTTTTTTTTTTTCAAT